AAAATATCTCTCAAACCCTTTGCCGTTCAGTACTAAAACATTTTAATTCCTGACGCAAGAAATCATATTTTGAGCTACCATGTAACTTACAATACCACCAAAGCTTTTCATGAGAAATTACTCTCCACCATCTCCAGTCATTGCTCTTAAGGAGAAGTGAAGCAGAGCACCTTACACATTCCATACTGTTAACAAAGTGAGGGATTATTTATGAACATACAAAGAGGGCTTTAATGCAACAAATGGCATGCGTCACGGTGACATTCAATAAACAGGCATGTCCATTCATGAATAAGATAATACTTTTTCCCTGGACTGTTAGCCAACCTGGGATAATAGCTTGATCCGATGTTACGCTTAAAGTCCAGAGAAGGTTGTGTGTGGGTCCTTGCACCCAGAACAGCTGAGAACAAAGTGCAGGAACCAAAAAGAGAAGAAACAGTCAAAAGACGGGACTCACAATAGGAAAGCAGATCCAGTCTCTCGACTCCCCTTTGGAGATCTTCGTCATCTGTGCGCACGGGGTCTGCAGCTTTTTCCGGACACCACAAGAGAAGCACACGGAGAGAGGTACTGTAGTGAATGGATGATGGTGTGTTTTGTTTTGAGCAGGTTATCTAAGAAAAAGAAAATCTGTCTGTCTAAGGGATTTTAGATTAATTACACCAAACTACAACTCTTACTGAATTTGAGAGAGAAATGTTCTGCTTGACCCAAAGATTAAACTGTCTCACACAAAAGGAGCAATACATGGCTTGCTTCATACTGTTTGTTATATTTTTCTGAAACAGATTTAAGTAACAGTGTTAGTGTTCAAAGTTATTTTCTTCTTTCTGGCTGTTTGGAAAAGGGATGGTTCTTAAAGGTCATTCACATGGTAGCTCCATCCTGCAGGGTCAAAGAACACAGTATTTACCACTGTACAATCAGTGGATTCGGAGGGTTTGAGAAAAATCCAACAAACATTTAATTACAATGGCTGGACCATTGCATTATTCTGAAAAGCAAATAATACTATAGTGAAGTATTTTTTAGGGAAAGTCTACCAGGAATAATTTAAGAGTTGTCATTGCAAGTGTTGTATCATGACAACAAATGAAGTAAGTTTGAGTGCAGCTGTGTGTGTTTACTTATTTTAGTCATATTGATGAGACAAAAACCCATTCACACAGTCATATTTTGGGAACACGCTCACCTTTCACCTGGTGGGCCTTGAATAAATGGTCCCCATAAGGCCAATCATTTATTTTCAGGTTAGGCTTAGTATTAAAATATTTTAGCGCTAAGGTTTAAGGGGTGCGTGTTCAGGCACAAAAAAGTTGAAGTACGGTTAAAACTTAACTAAATAATGTTTTTACATCATCAGTGGGTCTGGACTATGTTACCCTCAGCTCTAATTAGCATTTTAGCATAATAAATCGCATTGTTTTGGTTTACAACCTGCAACTTTACTGTTTTGGTTCAGTCTCATCAGCAGCAGGCAACTCTAAAAACCATATGTATACCTGCCTACCTGCTCAGCACCAAACAACAAAACAAATTAGCAACTGGCTAGCTAGCAAACATAGTAGAGCATTTAGCAGCTAGAGAGCCACATATTTCCCTCAGGTGTTAGTGCAGATCTAAACAGAGCTTCAAGGTGAGTGACTTTAGGACTTACATTTTTCTGGTGGCCAGAAACAGAAATTCACGCAAACGCTGCCAGGGACACTGGCACTGGAAAGGAGACGACGCACTTCGTTTCCTGTCCTGTAACTGTGTCACGTGGGTTTCGCCACCTCCCCGCCCCTTTAGGAGACCAGCGGCAGGTCTGCGTCTGCTTACTCCACTGGAAAAAGTGAACGTGATCACAGATTATGACCTATTATTTCACTCCATAGTCACCGAAATAATTATTGGGCCCATTATTCACAAGCCAAAGATTTTCAGACAGACAGATCAGGAGAAATTGACCTGCCTCTGTCTCAGCAACAAACTCTCGCGAGATTTAGCAACACAGGTCTCTTTGTTGGTTCTGCTCATGCTGCTGCAGTACTGCTGACATGGCTTTCCAACCGCGTAAACAGAGCTAGAGGGACTTATACGTGAAACCATGAATTAAAATTTAAATAAAACTTGCTGTGTTTCTTTGTTTACTGTAATTATTATTTAACTGTTTTGGAGGGGAAAAAAGAATATTATTACACTGATATGATTTTGATCAGATATTAAGCTAGCCGATAAAAACAAGCGGCAAAATTAGGCTCAAATTCATACAATTCATTCATTGATTAATTCATTCAACAAGAAATCACGACAATGCCCGCTTTGGAGACAGGAACCATTTCACATGATTGCCACTGCTTGTAATGCATCATCTTTGTTACAGAGTATCTTTGATGCTGCTTGTCTCTGCTAACAAGACGTTAGTCATGTGTTTGCAGCACGATATGCTTCCCCCAAGTAGCTAAAAATATCAATGAGTGCAGGTTTAAGTCAAGACAATGGCATCACAAATGAAAAGAAAGTTTGTGCATGTGTCCAGAAATGGTGAATAGTTTCCTTATAATTTGTCTGTCAAAACACTATATGGTGCAAAGGCCTCAAAAAACTCCTTTTCTGATTTGGATGTCAATGGTAGTCAGGCCAACCAAATGCTCATTTTGTACATATTTGAATGAATATTGATTTTTTATTCTCTGCAGTGTTCCTATGTGTTATTGGCTCATTTTCACTGAGCCCTCTTGTTTTTAGCTGATACATGACCTCACAGCCAGATATTCACCTTTTAACAGTATATAAAAATGAATCACTTTTATACATTGGGAACCTTTTGCTCACCTTTTACAAAATGTGTTTTAAAAAATAGCTCTCTCCTAAAGTGTTTCTGTTTTTACATTATGACCTTCAGGGCACTGTCACTTTAACGTGGATGAAGCTGACCGTGATTAGACATGATTACAAAGCCATTTCAGAAATGACTTTCAGGCATCCCTGTCTGGTTTGTCTTTGTCTGTTTTATTAGGCTCCAGTCTATTATTGTGTGTGGTATCTTTCCTGTTCGTTTACAGTTTTTTTAGGCATATGTGTGTCTGCGTGCCTACAGGGGAGAAAATGAGCACTGGAAGTTTTCGTAGCGGTGGGAGAGACAAGTGCAGGTAAGATAGTATCCTGTCACTTTTTTCTCCCATTCAGACTTCTTCTTCTTCATCTTTTTTTCCACTTCTTCTTCTTCTTCTTCTTCTTTGTCCAGGAGCAACAGAGACAAAATGTTGATGAAAGTTATTGTGAGAGAAAGCACAGACTTCAGGCAGAAAAGGGTGAATGTAGAGACAGTGAGAGTACAGAAAAGAAGGTGTAACTCTCCTGTAGAGGGTCTCAATTGTATAACCTTCATAGGCTTCAGCCAAGCTTTGTGGCTGCTGGTTCTTAGTCTTTGCAGGTCTCTGTGATAAAACTTAAATAGTCTCCTATTCATAATTTCTCGCTGAACCGATGAACCCCCGTCGGTTATCCACTTAACACCTCTGCTTGCTAAAGAATGTGCCCAAAGTCTCTGCATGTGACGCTGTTACATGATGTGGCAGGGAGAAGTGGGGCACCCAAGATTAACATTTTTTATTTAAAGGGCAGTTTATTCTGGTAGTTTCTTTGCTCCAAGCTTGTTTCCATCCCTGTTTTTTTAAGGTGTTTTGAATTAATTTAATTAATTTCCATCGCTTTTTGATACCATGAATTCCTATAGATCATTATAGCTGCTGTGTGATTCAGTCCATAGTCTCAGAATCAGATATCCAATTCATGAAGACTGATACAAAATACCATACACATATTGGAGGAAATCATTTTACTGTAATGAATATAGACCAGGATCTCTAAATGATAAAAGCCAGTCTGTAAGAGAGTCAGAGTCTAGTCATTTTTTCACAGAGAAACACATTTTCCAATATTGGCTATTTAACTCTGAAACTAAACTTTTCGTCTAAAGCTGAAAGTATTATTTCACCATGTTCTTTAAACCATTTAAGTATTAGGCTAAATGTTTTGGCCTTGCTGATTGCTTCATGCATTATGTGCCTCCAAATCTATGATGTAATTTGTCCACTTTTAACTGTGCTGCAACAATAGAATTACACAATAATTTACAGTTATTTGAGCTTTTGTTATGTAAAAAAAAAACAAAAACAAAAAAACTAAAGCATCTGTATCAGAGCTTACGAAACTCCATTTAAGCCCCCCACTTCTCTCTGGGTTTACAAAGATAACCTTTCACCTATATGAGGAGAGACTGGATTGAGGCCAAAAGAAGCTAATGCTATTGTGTGCTGATGTCCCCTCACTAATGCATGGCTTTAATTGCGAGGCTACATGCATTGTTCAGTGTACTCAGCTGATGGAGAAAACACTGGTAGTAAACCTCTTACGCGTCTCAATAATTGCCCAAGTCTTGCAACAATACTCACAAAGATGGGAGGATCAGCCTCTAGTCCTCCTCTTCCACTCCCTGTGACTTGCACACACTCAAAGACAAACACACACGCGTTCACATGCCAGTGATTACAGTCCAAATCGGACTCATTCTTGCCCACATTCCTGGGTCGACCCCACTGCTTTGTCAGTTGTTGCTCCATCGCTGCATGACCACACAGGACTCGGAAAGGACTACACCAACACGGACGCGCCTCACTCTGGGCATTTGGGTTTTTCATCCTGGTCAGTTTGGAGGACTTTAAAACAAAAGCTGCCAGAAGCAAACGCAGAGAGGTTTGACTAACAAAGAAACGACTCATGTTGCTCACAGTGGCCTGAGCAGAGTGGAGGCCTCTCGCATCAGATGGCTGCAACCAAACCAACCACAGAAGTCTGAGGGGGAAGGAACGCCAAAAGCATTTTGTCCACTGGATTTTGCTTGTTTGCCCCTTGCAATACAGCATCTTTATTTTTTTTATTTCAGTAATCTTATAGAACCTTCCTGACCTGTAGAACAGGTAGGTAACAAAGCTGAAAACCAACATCCAAAGATGGACTACTTGCCAGACAGTCCACGTGTGCGCTCAGACAGCATGAGCAGCTCAGCATCTCAGGGCTCGAGGTCCAAGATGCTCCTCCGCCAGCGTTTGTCCCAGCTGCTCACCTGCATAGAGGACATGAGCTCTGACGATGAAGCGAGTGAGGAAGTGTCCCGCACGCTGGATGAAGCGTTCCAGCTCTGCGGACGCTACGTTCCCACAGATGCGTTCAGGTTGACACGTGCACATTATCCATTATCACCCGTGCATACACAAGTTTACACAGACACACACACACACACACATACAGGAAGTGTTTGAGATTTCTGAAATAGTCAAGAACTCGTTTTACTTACTTGCTTTCAGTCTTGTTGTAAATGCTTAACTGCTCAAATCAAGAGGTGCAAAAACTGACAAGAGCTTAAGTTGAAATTTATCCGGACATCTTAATCTTAACAGTTATGAAGTGGTTTCCAGTTAACCAAGTAAGATTTAGAAAAAGTGGATGTTAAAAAAGTCAATAATTAATGTCTTCTGTGTTTTACTAGTCATAGAAGTATGAATACAATAATCCTGAGTCTAGTGTGATTAAAACTTGGAAAATGTGGCAATGTAACTTTGGTCAAATACTGTCATTAACCCAAAAACACACACTGACAGGCTGCACATGGTGACCTGGAATGTGGCCACAGCAGAGCCTCCTGAAGACGTCACCGCTTTGCTGCAACTGGATGTCCAGCCCCCCACAGATCTCTACGTGATTGGGTGAGCAACAAACATGTGGAAGCTGCAGTTTAATTTGTCACACTGGAGCTCAAAGCGGCAGGATTTACAGGACGCCAGCGTGCCAGTATTTGTATTTGTCATCCTCACTGGTGTTGGTGTGTGTCAGCCTGCAGGAGGTGAACGCCACCCCTGTGAGGTTCATCTCAGACCTGTTAGTGGAGGACTCCTGGAGCCACGTCTTTATGGACACACTGGCACCCAGAGGATTCGTCAAGGTGAGAGTGAGACAAAGGGGAAGAAAAGGGAAAATTGTACTGCGTGGTGACGTATAAATAACAGTGTGTGAAGAAACTAGTGTAGCTAAAAACAGCTGGGATAAATAACTGTATCCTGAAGGCTTCTGAAAAAAAAAAAAAAAGTATGTAAAACTTATATAACTGCCACTGTGTTCATATATATATCTTTAATGCAATATCTTTAGATATATCTGTATATTTACATATTCTCATATAATACAAGATTACAGTTTATGATATTATACCTATATAACTCAATCAAAAATTGATAGGAGAAATAAAAAAAAACATTTTTAAATAAAAATACAAAAAAAGAACAAACGAAAAATGATTAATAAAATCTCTCACTATCTCTGTCTGTGTAGGTGACATCAGTGAGGATGCAAGGTTTGCTGCTGCTGGTTTTTGCCAAACAAATCCACCTCCCCTACATCAGAAACATCCAGACCACCTACACTCGTACGGGCATCTTTGGATACTGGGTAGGAAATCACAATGGGAGCACTGGTCGGCCCAGAACCTTACAGACAACGACAGCGTTAAACTCTGCGCACCGGGAATCCCACTGGCTTCAGTTGCTGTGGAGTTTAAGGACACTATGAAAGGCCTGTTGTCTATGTTTAGTGGAACGTGCAACAGCTTTGACTGAATGAAATCACAAACAAAGAACATTTGATGGTAAAACTTGTGCACTGGGGCAAACCCTTGCAAGACAAATGGTCTCATCAATAATGAAGTTAAAGGAAAAAATCATCTGACTTAATAAAGACAAGACTTTTTTTTTATTTGTGGAAAAAAAATGGGAATTAAGTGGTTTTTAAAATACTCTATTTAATTTTCTTGTAAATACTGTAGGAAAATGAATCTGTATTCATCCGTATAATCTGACTTTAAATTTATTGTGAGAGTGTGTGGAAATCCACTTCACCGTTCCCTTTCACACACTGTACTCCTTCTCCTCTGCTTATCTGTGTCAGGGTAATAAAGGTGGAGTGTCCGTGCGTTTTTCCTTCTACGGCCACATGGTGTGTTTCCTCAACTGCCACCTAGCAGCCCACATGAACTACGCTCTGCAGCGCGTGGATGAGTTCGAGTACATCCTGGAGGCGCAAGACTTTGACATCACCGACACGCCACATGTCCTGGACCACAAGTCAGCACACACACACACACACACACACACACACACACACACACACATTTGCACTGTGAAATATAAGCACTGAAGGTTGTGGTGCAGCAAATGAAATGAGGCTCTCCATCCCTCTCTCACAGGGTGGTGTTCTGGTTTGGCGACCTGAACTTCCGCATTGCAGACCACGGCTTGCACTTCCTCCGCTCGTCCATAAACAGTGGACGCCTTAATTTGCTGTGGAGCAAAGACCAGGTGATGTGTGGAAATGAGCACACACACACACACCCACACAGACACACACACACTCACTATAATGCCCACTTGCTAACTTTCTTTTTTTCCTTTTTTTTTTTTTTGCAGCTCATCACGATGAAGAAGAAGGAGCCATTCCTGCAGGAATTTGAGGAAGGGCCATTAAATTTTAAACCCACCTACAAGTTTGACCGCAACTCTGACACCTACGATACCAGGTAAAATGAGCCTCAAACAAGCATATTGTTCACCGACATGGACACACACTTCCCAAACATGCACCCAAACTTCACTTGCGCACTTCTTTCCCTTCGAATTTTGAACAGCTCTCCAAAGACATGGTTTGGTTTTAAGTAAGAGACACCACTTCTTTTGTGTTGCATGCCCCACATTCCCTTATTTCTTAGTCCCCGCACCATCTGTCCTCTGTCCCGAAAGCTTGTGCCACCACATTGTCAATTGAAATGAAATCCCCCCCCCCCCCCCCCCCCCCCCTCGGAGACTCACTAAACAGGAGACCAAAGCAGTAGACCCTGATGTATAGATGAAATTGGGAGCAGCTCTTTCTGTGAGTCATATCCTTTCCTGACACTCGCACCATGTATGTGTCTCTCTCAGAAAGAGCACTGTGGCGCTGCCCCTAACCATGTACAGACCCAGGCCCCTGCAGCGCTGCAGCACCACCCTCTTCTTCCTCCTCACCTCCCTCACCTGGGGGCTGCTCTCTGTCTGGTTGGGGGCCTGGTACAGGGAGCTAGACCCGCCAAGGTGGGTGTCTCCATAGATATGCCCTGTTAGGCTGTTATATACATAGGTTAGGTTATATACATATAACCTACAATAACAAAATAACTGGAGACACTGATATAAATGACATGACGCAAAGGGGTAATAGCCTTCATGAATTTCAGATTTAATCTGCACATTCATGAGACTGCTCCCTCCTGCACCCAGAACCCTACTGTTTATTCCTGCATAATGTATCCCATACAGAAATGTAATATGTGACATATATGCCCCTATATCAAGACAGATGTTGCAATATATGTTACTTATAGGGGGATATATTATTATCACATTTATACATCCTCTGGATAAATGAAGATATAAGCTTATAACATATATGACATATCCATAGTAAAATGCAATTTCTATATGTTTATATACTTTCTTAATAATTTCTTATTAAATGTAAACATGCATGTGTATCTTTTATATTTACATATATAATATCAACATTTTTTGACAGGCTTTGGGATGGACATATATTTACGTAACATATGTCAACAATATAAACATGAACATACATGTTTGTTTTAGCTAGACATATGTGTTAATATATGAAATTGTTCCAATTTCTAATAGGTTCCATGTGTAATTTTGACATAAATAGACTATATGTACATGTATGATTTTACTTCATATGTAGGCTACATATATTTCATATATGGAGATTCAATACATGTACATATATTACATTTGCGTATGGGATGTGTTGCTTTTTATAGTAACATGTTGTTGTCCACTCCTAATATCCATCATTTCTCCACAGCATGCTACTCTGTAGGTATATTGTTACTCTGCATTGCATCTGTGTGTGGTGTGTGTGTGTGGTGTGTGTACTTTAACAGCATCATTTTCATTATTTCTGTCTAAGAATAAGAATTTGCTAGTTAGGTTGAAATGCATCAGAAATGGATATGTGATGTATCAGGTAAGCCTTAGAAACAGAGAATTTCAACCTTCGGTATCAACGCTTGCCTTTGCTTTGCCCAGTGGCAAGAAGAGGAAACCAGCCTGGACTGATCGGATCCTCTGGCGCATCAAACCCAAAACCCCACCATCAGAGGACGATGATGAGAGGGCATCCACTTCTACTGATGATGGACAAGATGAGTATCCAATCCTGGTCACGCAGGATAAATACACCAGTGAAATGAGCTACGGAGTCAGTGACCACAAGCCTGTCATCGCAACCTTCAATCTGGAGGTGAGAGCAGACTTATTGTTGGACAATAGGACTTTGTTTTGTGGTTCTCAAATCTGCTCATCAGTACATAATCTAATATCACGACTAAGTGAAGGTTTTGTTTCTACATTGTTAAATCTCCCACAGCTGAGGAAGTACTTTGACACCCCACTGGTGCACATCACTCCTGTGGGTGTTTGGAGCGCCGACCAGGATGCACTTCTTAATTACACCATCCAAGAGGACTTCATGTCCTCCACATGGGACTGGATTGGCCTGTACAAGGTACTGGGACCGACAAAGAGTGAAAAACGCAACACAACACAACAACAAACAAACAATATAATACAATACAGATCTGAACTCGTGGGTTTGATGTCCTGCAGGTGGGATTCAAGAGTGCGTCCGACTATGAAACCTTTGTTTGGGTTCGGGAGAATGAGCTGCCAGAGACAAATGAAGTCATACAGGTAAAGTGAAAGTGAGGCTTTTGTATTACATTTAGAAACTGTTTACAATGAAAATAAACTATGAGTGCAGGTTTCATTATATAGGTAAACGTGTGTTTTGTTTGCAGATATCTGTGGATAAGGACGGGATCCCTCTGCTAAGTGGAGAGTATGTTTTGGGTTACTACAGCACAAACATGCAAAGCATCATCGGCCTCAGCGCTAACTTCCAGGTGAGTGTGCCGCTATCACATCATGGTTTTACCTCATCATCTTTCATTATTGTTTCTTCTCTTAGACAAATTAACATTCTGTGTTAGAATAATGCCAGAAACAGAAAAAGGTTTGACTAACACTGAAATCTGTACTGGTAAATAATGCAAAGCACAGTTCCTGTGAGAAAAAGTATTAAAAAAAGTAAACTACTAATAAATTATTGGTATGTCAAACCTAAACTGTCATAAGCAACAAAAATAAGATTATTGCTCTAAGGCTTTCCATAGAGGTGTTACTTTAATTATATGTTTTAGCGGTGATGTCATGGTTAGTATCATGTGGTCCCTTACAATACCACCATTAACTATAACCTCAGTGATAAACATATCATTTAATTTTCACTATTCCAACAATGTCAACAAAAAATAAACATAATAAAATGTGTAAAGGTAGAATTTCTGGCAGAGCAATTGTTGTACAGGTGTGCCTAATAAAGTGGTCACTAAGTGTATATTTTCAGCAGGAAGTGTATGTGGCATTTTAAGGATCCTATCTCTGTTTTGATCTCGCAGATCCTGGAGTCAAAGCGCGCCGTTATGGAAGGCCTCGTTCCTGACATCAACGGGCTCGACAAATAAGATCAAGTTCACTGCAGTGCCACATCACATTCCTCTCCCCTGCAAATTCACACAGAACGGATTCAGACTTTCAAATGCCCCAAGATCAACTCCATCATCTACTGGATGAGCTGACTCAGTCATTAAATAATGACCCACCACACTGCCCCATCACATGGACTGGAAACTTTAATTTGTTGTTGCCGACTTTTGCCTTTAAGGAATTCACCTTAAGTCAGATTCACTCTTGCTGGAGCAGTTTCTCTACAAAAAAGAAAAAAAAGGTTCATCGCTATAATGAGTAGCCGACCACCACAGGCCTTTTTTTTGCCTGTTAGAGCAGAAAATAAAGGAATAAACATGCCAAACTACACCGTTGCTTTAAAAACAAAAGGCGTGCTTAAGTTGTGTTGTTTGAAAATAGTGCAGGTTAATAAGTCATTGGTCAAATAGTATTTAAAAACACATTTTTATGTTTTGGTTTGGTCTTCATTAGTGCCAATGCAGAGAGCTGTACAATAAGTGTAAGAAAGATCAGCCAATCATAGGGAACTGTTGTATAGAGAATTCTATGATCATGCAGGATGTTTTACTTTATACTGTCTTAAATTCTTGCTATCAGTTATTTGCACCAGCCATTGGACCTAAGTGTCTTTGGGTGGAATGAAAAAGATGGCAGAAAGATTTAAAGTATTATGTACACATTAATCCCTCAAAGAACATTTCATGTTAGATGTGGATGCTGATGTGGACTTGTACACTGAGGTGTTTTGAGTCATTTATTGCTTTATAACAAATATGTGTAATGTATTGTATATGCAGTAATATAAGTCTAATGTGTATCATGACAGACTCGAAGGCAGTGAACATTATCATAATAGGATTATATTTTGAATTTATCTGGATAACGATTTGAATGAATTATTTATGTATCTGGCTCTAAACTTCTTGACTGTAGTTTCTTAAATTAGAAAAATATAGGATGTCTTTTCTATTCCAATGCAAAAATGATGATTGTTTTCAAAGAAAAAGTGTCCAAATTTCCTGTTGTGTGCATGCGTGTTATAGTGAAGTTGTGTATATTTGGTTGACTGATTGATAGAGTGAATAATATCACAGAACACAATCAACATGTCGGATGTGTATTTGGTCTAGGCTCTTTGTTTCACTGTGGTAATGAGATATATGAAGTGCACGTTGTTTGTTTGGAAAGTGCTGGAAATGCCTTTCAAGTTCATCTGTGATGATGTGACTGCAGTTACGTCTTTTTGAAATTTGAAAGCAGAACTCTTCTTCTGTTTCCTCTCGATGCAAATATTTTAACCCCAGTCAGGGAAAGCAATATATGTCTGTTTTTAATTTGGCAGTGGTAGGTAAGTATGACCTTAAGGGCCCATTTTCTCCCTATAAACTATATTTAAATTGGGCAAAATTTAAATTTAAGATACAGCAGGCTCTACTCATCTCAATGGTTCTCAGTCACGTCAGGGATTTGCACTGGAGCTTATCAGGAAAAGCAAGACATGAGGGGTTTTCATTACATTTACAAAACTATTCCTCTTGTACAGAAGAAAAGAAAAACATGATGGAGGAATATCTATAATCATGACTTCCATATATCACGAGAAATTATGAAAATGTGAACTAAAGGGACTAAAGGGACTAAAGGGAGCTTTTGGAACAATTCAGAACTTGCCCAAAATGTATCTGGTTTTTAATATTTCTAAAGTATCAAAGTAATTCATCATGGTACATGAATGGAAAAATACACGTAGGCTAATTATATTTATATCAAATTCATATTCGTATAGATATATATAGGACTGACAAAAATGTGTTACTTTGTGACATTAATATCCTCCTAACCCATAAGGCATCAGGATACCATGATTACAAATCCTGAGCTCATAAAAATCTTGACCTAAAATATGGCGCAGAAAATTTACCGAAATATAATAAAAATGAAGATGAGCAAGGCAATCCAGCAAGAAACTCTTCTCACTCCAAACTCCCATAATTCCTTGCGAGAATCCGTCCGCTGGCTTGACAACTTCAGCTTCCTAGCTTATCTTTCATGTAAAGGCTCTTCGGTGCTACACACGTGGAGAAGTTTAACACATCGCTACCTCGCTGAAGGTAAAGTTTTACCACCTGTATCTGTCGCTCTAATGTCTTATAAAACTGGGCACAGTTGCGTAAACAACCGATGGTTGTCTTGCTTACCTGCAGTCGCTGCTAAAAGTAATTAGGTCTCCAAAATGCTGGCTAAACAGCAGGCTAGCGGAGTTAGCTCTGTTGGTTTACAGCGTAGACTATGGTTGACACAGGCTAGCTAAAAGTAAACCGCTAAACAGTTCATTTCAGGTGGTGCGATTTGGTCCAGAGCATTACAATAACAGTGTTACACATGGCTCTGCAGTGTGTTGCTCCTTTTCCAGTTTTCTAAATAAACATTTGTATGTCTAGTTTAAGTAACCTTTATGTGAGGTAGCCTGGTTTAGCCAAGCTATAATGTTGCCTTCATGACAACTGAGAAATGACAGCACCTCCTAGGATAGAAATCGATTCTGCAAATACACCGTCAAGGTTTGATCTTTCAGTGAAGCAGCATCCATGGGCTCAACATTTAAAACACCATCCATCCACTTGTACTGCCTCACTAGAGCCTGGATGTGTTTCAACAAAAAATAAATGTTATATTTTACAGCAGGGAACAACCAGTCAGAGATTTCCCTAACACTATAGGAAACAAGACATTATTTACAGAATGGAAAAAAGTTACCACCTGTTTATACCTCCATCTATATAAAGCTTTTCTTTTGTTAGATTTGGATCCAAATCAAACAGAGGATGACGAGTGAGGACGTGGAGCGGCTCCTGATCCAGTTTCAGGATGAGGAAGGGGAGGTTCTGGGTTCACCTTTTGATGTGCCTCTAGACATCACTCCAGACAAACTGCAGCTGGTCTGCAATGCGCTGCTACAGAAGGTGACTAGCTGGTATTATGTAACATAGATATAGAATTCAAGCTGTGATTAGAATGTACACATTTAAAATATGTCCTATATATTTAGCGAGTATTTTCGCACATTTACAATATTCAGTTTCAAATGAAGATGTGCATGTCAATGTTTCAAAGTGGTATTACTGTATACAATATATGCACTATCATTTAGTGTAGTCTTGAACACATTTCTCACTGTTCCCATGGTAAATTCTGCATGGTAAATCCCAAATCTAAGTAACAATATTCAGATAACCAAATGTAGATTTTATTATCCCTAAAAAGAGGTCGTCTCTCAAAGGGCACAGATTGGTTTCTGTTTTAGCCCCTTATAGACACATCACATTATCAGAGTCATATAAAGCCAATCTAAAGTCCAGTGAATATATGTCATTTTTGTGTTTTCTTCACTGTAGGAAGAGCCAGTACCACTGGCATTTTTTGTGCGTGGCGAGGCTGAGGTGGTGTCCAGTCTGGGGTCTTGTGTGAAGGCTCTTGGGGTTGAGACAGAGCAGGTCCTGCCAGTTGTGTACCAGCCTCAGGCTGTGTTCAGAGTTCGAGCTGTGGCCCGCTGTACCAGCACACTACAGGGACACACAGAAGCTGTCATCTCAACTGCTTTCAGCCCCACCGGCAAGTGAGTAACTCTCACACAGAATTTCTTTTCCTTTTGCATGCTCTCTTGTATTCTTGATTTATCAAGAGAGCCCTTATGATAGAACAGTATTTAGATTAAACTAGAAATTCTATTCTAAAGACACGCCCCATGGGTAGGTTTAGACATATTGTTAATGAAGTTGTCCTCGTTTGCTTTAGATATCTGGCCAGTGGTTCAGGTGATACCACAGTGCGTTTTTGGGACTTGGCAACTGAGACGCCCCACCACACTGCCAGAGGTATGAAGTCACTTCTGTAGGGCAACAAGATCTGCTATGCATCAAGATACAAATGATAGTTTAATGGTTTTAAACACCACTGAGCTGTATTCTTTTCTATTTAAGGACACACACACTGGGTATTGAGCATCGCCTGGTCACCCGATGGCAAGAAACTGGCTTCAGGGTGCAAGAACAGTCAGGTACGCCTCCAACATAAACATGTCTGATCTGTGTTTGTTAGATGAAGTTGGTGAACATTGTGTTTGTTTTTTTTTTCGTTTGTTTTTTGTGGTGATGTTCCTGTAGATCTGTCTTTGGGATCCAGTGACGGGTACACAGATGGGAAAGACTTTGACAGGACACACCAAATGGATCACTTGGCTCTGCTGGGAACCTCTACATCTGTGAGTCATCACTTTCTCATCACTGTACATTGCTGCCTATTATTTTAGTGCTCACCTAAAATCACATTCAGACACAGCTTCTGCGCTGATATATTTTACTTGTGAAACTGTAAAATTAGAACCACTATAGATTTTTCACAGAAGACAATTTAAATAATAAAATGGATGAAGTCCATTTAGGTGCCTCAGTTTCAGGGTCCTGGTTTTGTGCATGCTGGCTCACTGTAATGTTTTTACTAGGACATTTGAATGTATTGTTAATGTTATTGGCTTCACCTGTGCATTCAGTCAAGTCAGTGCAACCCCTGTATGAGTTCTGAATAGTACACAATAGCACACTAATTGAGTTACTTGCACACTAACTACCAAAACAGTGCACTTAAACATCGTTATATAAACAGCCAAAGTGAAACTACAACTTCTGGGTTTTGTTCCAGAAGTAAGAAAACATCTTTCAAAATAACTTTGACATTTGCAGTAACACAAATAAGTAAAATCCAGCCTTGGGAGATGACCTTACTCAAAGAAGAATCTAATGTGAGGCGCCCCTGTGGCATAATGGTCCCAAAGTTTAACAGACATACCACATAGCCACAACGTCAACAATTCGACTTCCCGCCGGGAATGACCTGAGCCGCAGCCACCCTATAGCCACGATTTCAAATAAAGTCCTGGAGAGCGGTGGGTTAACGTCACCAATTTTGACAGAAGAAGTGAGTCCAAGGACAAGTCAAAGGGCTGTGGTCGGTTCAGACACGTCTGTAATAACAGCAGGATGGAGAGAAGTGAACGGGTTGACACGGTTGTACACAGTTTTTGTCTGCCAACAAATGAAGAAGCTAAGTGGAAGACTCACTCGCACGTGATGTAATGACTTCGGCTCTCTGTCGTGTTTACTGTTTCCTCCCTCTCCATTTCAGTAACCCAGAGTGTCGGTACTTAGCCAGTAGCTCTAAGGACGGGTCAGTACGTATCTGGGACACAGTGTTGGGACGCTGCGAGAAGATCCTGACTGGACACACTCAGTCAGTCACCTGTGTGAAGTGGGGAGGAGATGGACTTCTGTACACTTCTTCTCAGGACAGAACGGTCAAAGTCTGGAGAGCCAAAGATGTAAGTGTGTGTGTGTGTGTGTGTGTGTGTGTGTGTGTGTGTGTGTGTGTTTGTTTGTGTGTAGGACTGGCACAATGTTGATCTCCACAGACACAATGAGCCAAATCAAGAGGGAGGAGACACCTGTGTGATAGAGCAACTCTTAATGTGTGTTTATGTCTGTCTGTGGAAACAGGGTGTCCAGTGCAGGACTCTGCAGGGACACGCCCACTGGGTGAACACCCTGGCTCTCAGCACAGACTACGTCCTGCGCACTGGCGCTTTTGAACCCGCAACTGCCACTGTCAACCTGCAGGACCTCACCGGATCATGTAAGGCCTAAAATCCCAGTTGGAACTCCTCTTTTCTGTTCTGCTCTGATGAACAAACACATTTTCTAGTCTGTGGAGGATGTTTTCATGTAACAAGCATTTTTTTCTCTCCCCCCCCCCAGTGGAAGAGATTAAAGAGAAAGCCTTGCAGAGATATAACAAAGTCAGGGTAAGTACTGTTGTGCTGTAAAGTACTGATATGTTCAAGTGTGTATGCACCTTGATTCAGTGCCTTTACTCCTCTTCTGCTGCCTCAGGGTTCAGCTCCAGAGCGCTTGGTGTCTGGCTCAGATGATTTCACCTTGTTCCTGTGGAACCCTGCAGAAGACAAGAAGCCTCTGGCCAGGATGACCGGCCACAGCGCCCTAGTCAACGAAGTGCTCTTCTCCCCAGACACCAGGCTCCTCGCCTCAGCCTCGTTTGACAAATCCATCAAAATCTGGGACGGACGCACTGGAAAGTAAGAAAATCCGTCAACCACAATGTCTACCGTCACATATAACATGTATGTAATACTGCTGTTGTCCATGTGATGGTGCTGTAAGCCTAAAGTGTTTGTCTGTCAGTGTGTGATCATGTCTCTGCCTGCTTGTCTACCTACCTGCAGGTACTTAATGTCCCTGCGTGGCCATGTGGCATCTGTGTATCAAGTGGCGTGGTCAGCAGACAGCAGGCTGCTGGTCAGCGGCAGCAGCGACAGCACGCTGAAAGTTTGGGACATCAAGACAGGAAAGCTCAACATGGACCTACCCGGTCACGCTGATGAGGTGAGGGAGGGAAAAATGTCACAGGATTCACAACATGACACAATAGTTGTGTGTATTTCCTGTATTTTTCTTTCCCTTTATTTGTTTGTTGCTTGCGTGTTTAGGTTTATGCAGTGGACTGGAGTCCTGATGGACAAAGAGTGGCCAGCGGCGGGAAAGACAAATGTCTCCGAATGTGAGTGAGATGCCAAGAAGCCTCTTGATCTGTTAAATACCAGTGTTTGCTCACACCTAACCCCTTGGCCTTGTGTTGTACATTTCCAGATGGAGGAGATAGCCTCACCTCTGTCCTCCTTCCTAACGTTGGCAGAGGATTCACATCTTCTCCTGTCAAGAACCGTGACAGCTGGAACAAGGGTGGCTAGACTGTTCCCAATCCCCCATTTTGGCTTTATTACACTGTCTGGCAAAAGTGGCATTGTGTCAGGGAGCTCTAGTCTGGTCATGATGGAAAAGCCCTGGTTAACATTAATGACTGTAAAGGTGTCAAGCTCAATGGAAATGTAACATAGGAGACTTTATATTCATGGCAACCTCCATCCATTGAGATGACTGCGAATAGAGGTTGTACTGTAATATGTATTTCAGCGTTAGGGTTCCCATTCATGTACATACTGTTTTGTACACATCAGGAGTCTTGACACGTAAAGACCTTTCTCCCAGATGCAGAAACCACAAACACGGTTATGTATTTAAAAATGAATACGTAACCAAATTCTTTAATATCTGAATACAGTGTATATTCTAACCAACGCGTCAGGAAAACAGATATTTCTCAGCTTGATGTTTGTCCCCTCCTTCACCTTACGCGTCACTAGATGAACTATATCCTGTAAGTGACAGGTGCACTGGGGAGGCAACAGGTGGGCGCGCTAATACTTCCCTTCTGTGATGTTAATGCCGACGGTGCTCGCCCTGCTCCTTCAGCCTTTAATCTCTTCTGTCCTGCGGTCAGCAAAGCCTCAACCTGCTGATTTTTCTCCTGCCTGTGCGCGCGAAGCCAAGTGGCACCAGCTCGGGACTGCTTGATTCGCATCCCAGTGTGGAACAACCATGTTTCACCACTCCGGTTAAAATGCTGTGTTCTGCATCCAGCTGGCTCTATGTGAATATTTAACACGAATAAATATTTACGTCAGTTTTTAAATCCACTTTCAATTAATTGTCAGATTCTATGTAGAAAATCATTAAGAAAATAAATAACAGCAACTCTCGCTGTTTGTCACTCAACAGATAAATGTTTGGTTCAGTTGTTGTACATCAGTGAATGCTTTTGTTTTAAGAAGCAGCCTTTGTATGTTGCTGGACATTTTGCTGGAGGTAGAATTTACTCCAAATTATATTCACACAAACATACATCCCACCACAGTATCTACATCTTATTCTTCATTTTATTAATCTGACGTCTTGACACACATTTTCCATCACACAAATCAGGTTTATTAAGTTCAAGTTTATTGAGACCAGTGAAACCATGTTATTTCTAATTATGTTTCTACATATGTTTCTACATCTGAGTTTTAAATCATACTTTCCAGCACTGATGTTTTTGAACAATTTTTTTTATTTTCCTGATGTCATACCGACATATTTCAGTTTTCCTTCAGCACAAATAAATTCTTCAATTTGCTTTAGAGGAAGATCCTCTGAAATGTGAATGATTACTCCAAATTCGATATGCTGTACCATGAGGTGCACATGCTGTTTGCCTGTTGATGAAAAGCAGAAACATACGGTAGGATTGTGCTTTTGTTAATGAAACCACAATGGCAGAGACATAAGGATTAAACAGTATTCTGCTGCTCCTGATTTAAAATGTAGTACAGATTTGCCGAAATTGGGGATTTCACATTGGAGATTCTACTGAAGTAGTTTGGCAAAGAGGATTAAAAAGGCCTCTGTGCAATGTCATCGAGCCTCTGACACATCTGCTTCCCCTTTGTTGGAGTTAAACATATGTAAACACTGTTAGACGAGACTGAACACCTTCAAAGACGGGGCTTATTAACAATTTCATCAGTTAGCGTACGAAGAGCTCACGATGCAGGTTAGCATGAGGTAAACAAAGAATATTTAAAGTGACATAATATCTGACGAGGGGGAAAAGTGTGCTTGATGAGTGCATCAGGACGTGCAAGAAAAAAACCAACTGAAGGCTCAAGCGCGTCGAAGTCGTATGGCTTACGGAGTTGGACGTGAGAAGAAGTGAATACGCTTGTAAATTTCAGGCAGCGCACCAGCACCTGGTTTGAAAAGACACGGGTCACCTTGGACCGGGGATGTGAACAAAGCATTACTGGTCACATATTCTCAAATAAAGCCTTCGCACGCAGCTGTAAAGAACTCAACCACCTTCTCCCAGTAACTCACTTGACGTTGAAAATGTAGTTATTCTCCGAGAATGGCAACAACGAGCTCAAAAACCCCCCTTCGAATAAACCTACTCTTATCTCCTACTCTTAAGACTGCATGTGAAGATTGTGCTACATACGGATTTGTGTCCTACAATGATTACTTGTGTCACGTTAAAAACTTTCGGCAGGAGAGGTACTGACTCCAGACCAGTTTGTGTGGCCCCAAACAAGCCTGCGAGCCACTGTCATGTGTGACAGATGCCGCATCGAGATTTCGCGCAGCCGTACTGCGTTGTCAGCGGCGGACCATAAAATGCACAATGAGCAGTATCTGAACGTCATCACCAGGACACAGACAGGAAATACTGTGAATACTTTAGTGTGATGATGCCACAAGCACAGTCAAGTAAGCAATTACAACACCAAGATGTGTTGAAGTACTGCACAGACATTTTGAAGTACTGCAGCGGGCTTGTTTGCGTCCAGTAGCATCTCCATTCTTCCCTCAGTATAGTAAGTACTTAGTGAATCAGAAGACACATTTATGGTTTCAGTACAAAGTGTTCACTCTACAACATGTACAGTAACAACAGTCATAGAAACCTAAAACATTAGACATATCTTTTTTTTTTTTACCTACACAAGTTTTTTTTTGTTTTTCTTTTCATTCCCTTTCTAATTGAAACCTTTGGTTAGTAATACCTGTCTGTGCGTGTTCTATAAATACTGTATACTTATGTTTATGGTAATAAGACTCAAGAAACTGAGTCCACAAGCCTGGCCGGGTGCACAGGACAACACATCACCTGCTTCATTTCACTTAGTCTTTTCCTGTCCTTCAAAATAAAATGATCCCTCTTTATTCCTAAGTCTGACCACTAGAGAGAAAGCGGTGAAATGCAAAACTGAGCTGTTTTTCTGCAACTGGCCACTCTCCCTAACTTATTATCACTGTGTTTGGACAAGGCCTGCAAATCAATTTATCTGATGAGTGGAAACTGGTCAAGATGAAGTGTCATCTGCTCCGGGCTGATGCAGAGAGCGAGAATGAACTAGAATAGAGGTGTTGAGTTGTGCGTAGCATGAGGCACTGGTCTGTGCTTCCCTCTGGTCCCTCTGCCATCGTGTGGCCCTTCTACTGGGTCTTCCACACATTGTTGAGTAGTTTGACCACTTCCTCATAAATGACAAAGACTATGGCCACGTCCAAGCACACGCGGCCAAGCCTGGGAACTGTCCCTTTGTAGAACCTGCAGGGAAGACAAGATGAGATGAGGTTGGACGGTTTGTCTACAGTAGTGGAAACTAAAACGGTGCAAAGCGAGGATCAGGGTTACTCACGCCTGCGGTCCTTCGTGCTTCAAGATCTGGAAGGCACAGTCCATTGTGTTTTTGTAGCGGTGGGCCTCCAAACCCTAAAAAAAAAAACACAAGCATCTTAGAAAAGGCAAACCTGAAGACGGTAACTAAATCTTCAGAGGGTGGATTTCCTACCTGCATCCTGGTCTTCACCACATCCAGAGGTGTGTTTCCAAAAACACTGGCAGCTCCGGCCGTCGCCCCAAACATTGCCGTGACAATTGGGTGCATCTCTCGTCTGGGATCGTCCCCTTTGACGCCAAATCCAAAAGTTGGATTCATGGAGAGTGGAAGGAAGTAAGAGGAAAAAGGCATCAATCGATCGGACCGAGAAAGGACACAGACTGGTCAAAAACAGGACAGGGGCATTGGATTTTGTTTTTTGCAGTCAACAGGCTCTCTCACCTTTGTACCAATTGCGCAGCAGGTTCATCACATAGAATCGAATGGCCTGATTGGTTCCTTGTTTCAGCACCGTCGCTGTCAGACCTTGATACGTCCCCCTCACACCTACAGAAGTCAAACGGATCAGGTTTCATTGTGGAGCGAAAACCACACACGAACATATTGCTACTTATAGAAGCAGTTTGTAACCACTGCTTAAACATTTAGCCCCTCGGATCATCTCTTACCCTGCTCTCGGATAATCTCACTGACGCCATGAAAGAAGCCTCTGTAACGGGGTCTGAGGGAACACTGGTCATGGATCATCTTAACCTTGGAGGAAAAAGGGAAGGACCATAAATCAGACCAATACTCATTCAGACCAGCGTTGATGTAACAGACGTGGAAACAGCTTCTCTACGGTAAAAGATGTCTAATAGCATCCAGCTCCACTGACCTTGAGCGTCTCCATGGGACAAACAACCACGACGGCCTCTGCTATCCCCGCTCCTAACCCACACAAGAGGCTCCGCGTGTTATCTAGACGACCTGTGGCATCTCGCATGGGGTTGCTGAGCATTTCAAACGTGCCAAACCTGAGAGGGAGGAGGTGATACGGTCAAGAACAATAAGGGGTCAGAATAAGAAACCATAGGGGGGACATTTGTTTGATGCATTCCACTGTAATCCATAGTCTGTTGCTGGAAGTTTCTGGCTCCAAACAACTGACTGTAACTTTGTAAGTAGTATTATGGTTGATTAATTGGTTAGTTGACGGCCAGGAAATTAATCATCACCTATCTTCCTAAGTGGTAGTATAAGCGTTTATAATCTTTCAAGCAACAATAGCAAACGTCTGATGGTTCCAGTTTCTCAAGTGTGAGAATTTGACACTTTTTCTTAACATTACGATAAATTAAACATCTTCAGGGTTTGGACGGACAAAATAACACGTGATGAGATCAGCTTGAGCTCTGGAAAGTTGTGATGACCAGACGAAATGATTATTCAGTAATTACAAGAAGAAAATAGTTAGCAGCTTAATTGATACTAACAGTAATCATTGCTTGCAGCACTTCACATTTGTCTGGCTTTAACGTTAAGCACCAGGAAATGCTGAGTCACTGCTTTGATATCAGTCAACTGTTAAATGAATTCGAAGATTACAACCCTGGCGATCTGTGATGCTATAAACCAAAAGGATGCAAGAGGAAAATGTGCTTTTCTACTGCAGCTCCATTCTGTTTTTTTTTGTGTGTATTTTTACACAACATCTGTGAAGTAAAAGCTACTGTATGTCAATGTGTGCATCTTCACCTCACTGCAGACTTGGGTATTGATCCATAGAGCAGGGAGCTGAGACCTCGATACAACCCTCTGAGCCCATGATCCTGCACGGTTAACTTCACACAGTCGCCTGCGCACACACACACACACACACACACACACACACACACACACACACACAAACACAAGAGCATCCAGGTGTGAGTAACCCACCAGAGGACTAGCACCACACAAACCTGCAGCAGTCAGTCAGCAATCATGCATGTCCCAGTGACCTACCGATCCCTCTGTATCGCGGTGGGTTGGCTCGCTCATCTAGCTGCAGCTGGGTCTTGACATACTCTGTGGGGAAGGTGATACAGATCTCGATCCCGCCTGCAATGCCACCTGAGTTGAGAGGGAGGGAAAAAGGAGAGAAACACTGCTGTCAGGATTTGTTGACTCACTGTGCAGGATTGTTCTTGAATATTCTGGGAGCAGGAGGAGAACTTGCCAGCATTTCTATTTCAGTGTAAAAAATAAATAAATAAAAAAGATTAGATGCATAAATTGCAGAGTGATGGTGATGCTAGATCGCTGCTGGCAGACAGTGTCTTTATTTTTAATTAAATGCTATTGTGATGTGATTATACAGCAGTACCTGTATTGAACTGGAAAGAATAGCTGAGGGCTACTGAATGCACCAGCCTATATTCAACACACAGCATAAACCTTCCAGCACCTTTATAGATACGTTTAGATTAATTCAAAAGAACAAAATGTCACGTAGTAACGAATATATGCAGAAGAGACACACAAATACATTCAACTACATCACGCGAGTGCTATAGCATCACTGTCGGCTGAGTGCGTTTTGACCCAGTTTTGCATGGGTAGCTTTAATGGGCGACTGAGATTAGGCTGTGCTGTGCGGAGAGCAATAGGCAACTATGATGGGGGGGGGGGATCTGCGGGCTTGAATATTAGGGTTGCAAAATCAACCTGCAAGGATAGCCTTCCCGGGATGCGTCATTTTCCTCCCTCCGACTGCAGCAGCCGCCAGGTTCCTCCTCGCCGCGTACGACCGCTGGTGGGCCGGTAGCGATCCCAGCCCCGCCGCGGCGGTCAGGCGCTGGAATGGAGGCTGCTGCTGATGTGCAGCCGAGCTCGGGTATCCTCTCCTGACACCGCAGCTCTCGCACGGCCCCTCACACACCGAAAACGGCTTCAGCAGTGAAGACATTTTGGTCGTCGGGGCTGGTTACAGAAATGTCCTGCTGGTGGTGATGTTCCCACTCAGACAATGTCAGACACAACAACACAGGAAGGCGCACCAATGTGGCGGCGGAGGGAGCATCAGTATTCAAATAGCGGTCAGGTGATGGGGCAGGCCATTGGCTCACCATGCTGCCTAATGCCATTATTCAGTCACGTGACAGTGAACGACTTTTGGTGACCAATGACGTGGAGGATGCTGTTGTATGGATGTGTCGAGGCTAATCCTGACCGTCAACTACTATGACAGTTCACAGATCTGATAGATAGATAGATAAATAGATAGATAGATAGATAGATAGATAGATAGATAGATAGATAGATAGATAGATAGATAGATAGATAGATAGGATGCCTCCATCCAAGTCAAGTCAACTTTACTTCAATAGCACATTTAAACACTGCTTGAGCTGACCAAAGTGTTGTACCAAGGGCAATTAAAATAAATAAGAATAAGCAGGTAAAACAAGTGTATACAGTACAACAAATGTATACAGTACATAAGAGTAAGTATAATAAGTATAATAACACAAACAAGTAGACAGCAAGAAACAAATACTCAATATAAACATGACAATGGACTATAGGTTAGTGAGCTAAAAGGCCAGTGAATAAAAAGATGTCTTTAACCTAGACGGAAGGAGCACATCTGATATCAGGTGGCTGGAGGGGTCACCGAACGGTTCGATCAGTATGTAAATGAGGATGGTAAATGGACTGCACTTATATAGGCCTTCGCAGTCACCAGATCTTAACCCAGTTGGACACCTTTGGGAGATAGACAGTGCTCTCCACCACCATCATCAAAAACACCAAATGAAGGAATATCTTCTGCAAGAATGATGTTCAGTTTGAGAGACCTGTAGAATCAACACCAAGGAGCAGTGAAGCTGTTGGCCCAACACCTTACTAAGACACTTTATGTTAGTGTTTCTTTTAATTTGCCATTTCTCTGTATGTACTATAAATACAGAGGTACGTAATTGCGTTTGTACAAGTACATAATAATAGAGGGATAGTGAGGTATAATTATACAAATAGAATATTGTAATAACAATTAGAAGAAATCTAATGAATAATATTTAAAGCATACAATAGACTTTACTTCCTTGCTAGTGTGTCATAAGCCATGCAATCAAGAATTTGGTATATTACTGTTGCTTCTTAATCCCTGCTCCTTTAAATAGTGCTCTCGCCATGCCAGAGCGCGCACACACACACACACACACACACACACACACACACACACACACACACCCTGCCTCCCCCAATCACCCTTTACAATGAAACTAGGTCAGTGTTTCCACACGCACACCCACAACCCCCACCCCCCTGAGAAAAACATAGACAGACTACAGAGAGAGTCAGTCAGTCAAAATGCCAAACTCAAGTGACCAGTTATTGTTCATTCAGTCGACCGATTTGTAAAACAGGGGAATTTCATGCTTCATTCATTTTATTTGTCTGGTGTTTTTGTTCTCGTCTACAAGCACCTATGCAAGTGTTCAGTGATCACACAAAGGGGTAGACTATGGCGAAAAACTCCAGTTCAGGGGGGAGCTGTGGGCAGGATGACAGTATTTCCCCTAGCTGGTCTTCCTGTTCTTCGGTGTTGTCATTTACTGAGTAGACTCTCACCTGGGAGATGATCGACAAGAGCATTATCATGTGTGCATATAAATCAGCGTGTGTGCAGAATCAGCCTGTATTGATCTTTGTTTCTCACTCTGATCTTGTTGAGTAGGCTCCTTTGTGTCAGTCTGATGTGCAGCAGCCTCCCCACAGTCCTGATTTCCAAGAAAGCCCAGATTCTCAGCTGCTCCAGACGCTCACACACCTGAACCAGCTCCAGCAGCTCCTCATCCAGTGATTCATTACAGTTGCTCAGGTCCAGGGTCAGATACTGCAACGCATTCACATTGTTTTAATGTAAATAGAACTACCTCAAAATGTTTGCATAATAAAAATTAAAATGAAATATAATATGATATAATATAATAAAATAATAAAATATAGACTTATACTTTTTCAAAATATACATAAAACTCTTTATTTAAACTCTTTATCATCTGTCCCTCTATTTACAGCAAAGCACAGCAGATAAACAGTGACAAAACACTTAACAGCTCTGTCCAGAGCTTTCAACCACATCACAGCTTGTCAGTGGGACAGTTAGGAATTTAATTTTATGCTCTCAATGATATTCAGTTTGGTGCAATCACACAGTGAGTTCGCGTGCAGAAATTCATGGAAATCCATTCAATAGTTGTTGAGACTTGTCACTCCAAACCACCAATGTGAATCTTATAGTGTTGCCAGAGAAATTTCACAAGGGAAAACTTTGACCTCTGAGAAAGTTAAAGGGAATCAACAAAGTCAGTAGGATTCATCCTCTGGGTGACCATGAATGGCTGTTCAGCACGGCTATAAATGCAAGATATCTCTCCACAGACGCAATGAGATGGTTTTGTACAACTACGTTTTACTTTTTTTTTTTTTTTTTTAATGTGAAAACCTTTGCACACCACACCAAACTGGCCTGAATTGGCATCTTTCGCATATTGTGTTTCAGGGTGAACATTCAGTTTAACACACTGGGGGACCCTGACCTGCAGGCTGCGTCTGTACTGGGGCAGCAGGTTACAGAGGAGGGGCACGGCGCTCCAGTCGTCATCAGGGGAGTAGAAAGCCGTCATGCTATATTCTGTCAGGGGAATCTCGCGCTGCAGTATCCTCGCAAGCCGGTCGGTGTTGATGACTTGGTCCACTGTAAGCTTGACTGTCAGGTCTGGGCAGGTTGATGCCAAAGCTGCCCATGAGTTACCACACACCACCTTGAGACAGAAGATGAAGTAGAGACAGAAATGAACAAAGGAAACCTAAGGGCGGTATAGTTTTCACCGGTGGTATTTTAGTTTCTTTTTCTTTCTTTGCTATTTCAGCATGTGCTCACATCCAGCACCTTCACACTAATCCCCAAGCGCCTGCACTACTACCTTGCCAAGAGGCATGTTTCACCTGGCGGATAAGTTAGCAGAATAATTAGACCATGCAGACTGTGCAGGTGTTTGTCCTTACACTGAGCTCCCCAAAAGCTGACATCTATGATTTTGCAATGACACCCTTCAATGCCATCACATTTCACCCCTCTATATAAGCAGTTAAACAGTTTTCATCGGGGACAGTCCACTGTACCAAATGCTGCTCCATCCCACTTGGCAATTCAGCAAGTAATATTAATCTGTTTGTTTTCCTGCTTACCTGCCGATGGGATTCATTCAAAGAGCAGTGCAGTGAAAAAGTTTGCAAGCGGTCCCCTTCTCTACTGGAGTTTCGACTCTGTCGGAGAGCCATCAGCAGCTCATCTGACAGGCAGGAGTAACTGAGGCTCAGGTTGGTGAGGCCTTGCAGGTGGCACAGGACAGAGGGCACACTGGAGTCTTGGTAGACATGCAGAGAACCAGAAAAGAACCCCACCAAGTCCAAGGAAGAGATATAGCACCGGGGGTATAAGTGGCTCTGAGAGTGTGACAGGGCGGAAAGCAGCTCCAGGCCCTAAAGGTTAAATGATCAGAAATCAGAGGGATAAAAACTGCAATCAATATCGTCGTTATTGAATACAAGTTGGATTACATTTTCACAATAGTATCATCTTCCCCCTCCATTTAAAAAAATATATTGGAAACCGTTGAAAAAAAATGATAACATTATTTTTTACAGTTTAATGACATTTATTATGAAGGAATTAAGGCGAGTATAAAGAATTACTAAGACGGGGCGGAAATTACATATCATCTGTCAGATTCAGAGCTTCCTCCTTCAGTTCAGTTATTTGTACATTACATCTGTTGTCACTGACTATGTAGTTTGTTCCTTTTATTTTTATGCCATCATCATAATACAAAAAATTATTATCTTTTTGCACACAAGAGAATACACACAAGGATTAGGAAAATGATTTTTCAGCACTTCGCAGGTGGTTCAGGATAGAGCGTATGTTGGAGTTAAAGTGGACCTGCACGGCACCAGAAAAAAAACCCTCCATTTAGGTCCAGAGATGATCCACAGCTGTGGGAGTTTCTCGATCTGAAGTGATTGCGACATCATTCAGATCATTGTCACACTACATCGCTGATTGATTGTCTTTACTTCAGTCTTCAGTGTGTTGCTGAATCAAATTAGTACAAATCTTGGCCCATACAAACACCATTTATAAGGTTAATGGCTCATTCATTCACATACTGAGCACCTCTAGTACCAGCCCGCAGCCGATGAGCTCTGATTTACCACTGATTACCACTGATCCTTTGCTGAAGCGCCTGTGTCAGTGACATATCTGCTGAGATAGTATCTTGGTGTTCATAATATTCACCTGCTGCATGCCGTTTCGCATCCCGTTCATACAAACAGAGGTGAGCCTTGAGGCCCCTCTGCGGAGGAAGTCGATCAGACAGTTTGCCAAAGAATTCCTGAGCCGTAACGTCCAGGCTGACCGGTTCAACTCCAGCCTTACAATTGAGAGGGAGCGCAGTGGGGCCCTTACTCTGCGGAGACCAAACAATGTTTCATTTACAAGTGATTTGTCATTTATAATGTGATTGGGGGGCTGAATTATGTAAAACCAAAATCTGGTTTAGACAGGCTTTCAGGAAACACATCCCTTTACCTGGTAAGCTCAGAAAACAATCCACTGATGGTTTGCTCCAGTCGCTGGGCTGCCAAGGACCTGCGTGGAGGACACACACACACCTCCAGCCTCTCCAGGTAGGGTCCCAGGTAGCGGGCATAGGTCACAGCAGAGCAGTATTCAGACTGCCTGAATTTGGACAGTCGACCGTTGAAGTGGAAGAAGCGGTAGCGCCAGAGAGAGGGAGAGCGCATGACATTGTGCCAGTGATGACAAACCATGTCTGCACTCCTGCGGTCATGATCAGGAAGAAACGTGAACACATGCCGCAAGCACACATGGGGAAGTGACGCCCAACCGTTCACCCTCTCTGAGCAACTCTCGCAACCTTCATCACTGAGATCTGAGTCGTCTTCACCCATCTCTCCCTCAATGGAAGAATCTTTGAAATCAAAACCTCCCAGCTGAGTGCTTTCTTCTCTGTGCATGGGGAAAAAAACTCTTGTTTTGTAATTCCCGGGTCACCCCTAAAAAGAATACAGTACAGTTTTTGAGGTTAGAGGCCAATGCCAATTTAGATTTAGGAAAAAGTTTTTGAAAAATATGAAAAATTACAAAAAAAAAAAAAAAATTGCTCAGTAAAAAATGACAGAGAGAGATTACTTTACCTGAAGCTGAAAGCAGTCCAACAGTGAAGTGGATAATGTTAGAAGAATCTTTCCTCAGAATGTTATGGTTCTATTGTGACTTCACAATGACGACATTCTCAGCTGAGTTCTACATTCAGTTCAATTCAAAATACTTCATTTGTCCGTCAAAAGGCAATTCAAAGCATAAAACTTAAAAATGCACAATGATTTAACTTAGATATCACATTCTTTCACTGGACTATTTTCTTTGTTTTTAATGCCATATTATGAATTTTGTTTTCTTATTGTTTAATTATATCTTTATACTTTTTCTGTTATTAATTTTTGTTGTTGTTTGTATGTTTAGTCTAAGTAACTCCTGCCTTTTGTGTGTGTTTATTTTTATTCGTACTATTATTTGTACTTATTTGTACTATTTTCAGTTTGTATGTGAGAATAAACTAAACTAAGCACCATTGTGTATGTAACAACATACATCTGCTTTCTTACAAGGCACCCTTTATAAAGGGTTAATAATGGCTTTATTAGTGGTTACTTATTTACTGATACTTTATATTTCTGTTATAAGTCATGGATAAGAATAAGTTTTGGGTTGCCAGGTTGTGAAAAATCACTGTCACTTTGCACTTCTCTCAAGAAATTGTTTGCTTTTCAAATCAGTTATTATTTCTTATTGTTATTTATCTTTTATTTTATGTTATGACTTTTCAGATTAATCTCTGCAAAAAATGAAAAAGTTTAAACATTTTCAATAAATTAGATAAAAATCATTAATATTGTCAATATTCTTGGAGCAGTGTTCTAATTTTGTACACATGCAGTTTATTTGTATAAAACATATCACAGAAATTAAGCATGAACTCAAAATGAAATAAGGAACGAATATGGTTACGCCTTTGCTTAAACAGACAGTTGTTCTCCAGCAGAAACAGATATTGCACATAACTTTTAGGTGAAAAACATTTCCTGAGAGCATTATTACAGAGAGAGTTTTTTTTTTTAAGTACAAGCAACATTTTCTCTTATGATGACTCCCATTTATTTGTTTGAGTTCCTCAGCCCTTCAAACAGCAGACACTTAGCCTGTGAAGAGAGAGAAAGAGAACAGTCAGAGGCTCTTTAGTAAACAGAGTGACATAAGCTGTGGTATGTTTGGTAGAGAATGTGGGCTTGTGTGTCTCTATTTATGTCCGTGTGTGTTTATAACCTCATGCCACCGCAGTGTGTCAGGGGGCAAGCCCAGATGGCAGTGAGGGCACGTGTGCATCTGATTGGGTACTTCCTGGTTTCTTTGCCCCCAGCAGGGGCCCTCACTGCCCCACAGAGGGCGACATGTGGAGTGGGAGGACCAAGCTACGCCAAAGTGAGGTCGAGGGTCTGTCTGGTAGCTCACTTTCTGGGCACTAGAGGGCGGTGGTGACGACGGATCTGAGTCTTCCTGCAACACAGCCACAGGGGAGAGTTGTGATACCATTAAGGGAAGATCTTCCCTAACACAGAGTTGCTCTTTGACTCAGCTTCAGAAAGTGCAACTCAATATTATCATGAATTCAAGTTTTGATACTTAGAGCCGAAGCTTATCAGAGCCAGTTTTCTTTAAAAAAGAAAATAAAAATTTTAAATCGTTAAACTGCTTAATGAACAAAAGAAGATGGTTTAGAAAACTATTTGATTTAGTGTTGCCATTGAAAGCAATAACATCATGTTCTAATGGGAAAAATTACCTTTGATAGATATTGCAAAAGACAATTATTATAATGAAATTTTATCTGGTCCTCTGTGAAGTCATTCCTTCCATGGCAAAGACAACTGAAACACTTATTGCTCAAATGTTTTTGTGCACCTTACTTTTTACTCCACTACATTTATCTGACAGCTATAGTTACTAGTTATTTTAAGATGCACAAAAAGTAGCTTTGCTTCAACCTGTTACAACATAAAATACTACATCCATAGTAATGCATTTATAATAATAATTAAATTATATAAAATTAGAGTGGGGGGGGGTCCTTCTGCTGCCAACTGACTACTTTTACTTCTTTTACTTTTTTGTTTACACAGGAAAAAAAGGTCAAGGTTTATTTCTATAAAGATATGAATCCACTTTTAGACCAGGCTGTTATATTTTTTTGTACTATGTCCCTGAAATGGAAACATTTCTTTACACCAATGTTATTTTTTTATTACAAAGAGAAGTTGAGTTTGAGTTTGTGAAATGAAGAAAATTCTCAATGTGTCTGATCAGCACTGAGAGTCTGAGATAAGTTAGAAATGTACAAACCTGTTTCGCAGTTTCAGGACGATACTCTGAGTCAAGAGACCTCAGGCAATACCAGCAGGGTTCAGATGGGCGATCTGTGAAGACACACCAGCAATTAGTGTAACACATTTCTCCTTAAGTAAAAGGCGTCACATGAGCATGCTCTGGTTACAGACAAACTACTGTAACGCCCCACAAATCTCATATTAGTAAGCTGTGTGTGTGTGTGATTTACTCTGTGTGTTGGAGGGATGAGATGACACTGAAGGGGGGGTCACCTCTTCCTCTCTTGGTAGGGGGGGAAATGGGAGGCAGTCAGCATCCTCCTGTGTGTTTGTGGCTATCAGAGTCTCCTGTGGTAATGTCTCTGTGTCACTGATACATAGATCCTCTCCAGCCATCACCAATCATACCAATCAAGAAACGCACAAATATTTAATGAAATTGTAGAAATAGAATATAAATTATATATGCTAAAATCTGACCTGACTGGACTCTACCACTCCATCACAGGTGTCACTGTCGGCCCGGTCGTCCCCTTCTGCCTCCTGGAGGTTTTGGGGCTCATCGTCATGCTCTCTGCAGTTCTGAGTCGGTGTGTCAACCTGGGTAGAAGTCGTCCCACTGAGGTTTGAGAGAGAAGCAGCAGTATTAACAAACATGACCTCCTAATTGCCTGACTGGAAGGTTATCCGCCAATCAATCTTCAGCTGATTACACCGCCTCAGCCTCTACTGTTACACTCAAGACAAGCACCTGATTAGCTATAAACATTCAACCTCTCCTTGCCTTACCTTTCGCTGCTTTCTCCCCGTTCCTCCAACACTCCCTCCATCCCTGCTCATGTGTCTCCCTCCCAGGGTGCCTGGCGTGTTATTTCCTCTTAATCCCACCGTTCTTTGACTTTTCCCCCCCTCTTTTCCTCAGCCCCTGTATGTCCTCCTCTCTGTCTGCCTCTCTGCTCTCTCCCCTCCCTCGCTGCGAGTGTGAAACGGAAACTCCAGGTTTTCAATATTTGATGTGTCTGAATAGCTCACAAGCAGGTTTCTGTAAAGAGTAATCAGGTGAGGGCTCTGGTGTCTCTGGGGTGGACACAGAGACAATAACAAGCCTGCAAAGACCAACACTGAATACAAATTCAGCAAATTCAGAAGCCAGAAAGTCTGACAACTCCACACAGAGCTCCCACAACATCCATACCCTGAGAATATAACATTTGCTAGAGGCACAATTACTTTATTCAGTACCAAAAAAAAGGTTTAAAATTTATTTACAACATTACATTAAAATATATCTTCTGACACTAAAAAATGCAGCTTCTAATTCAGGGTGATCATCATCAATACCCATCAGGGCCTGTATTCACAAACTATCTTAAGGCTAAATGTAGCCTAGCTTCTGACCAATTGAAGAGAAACTCCTAAAAATAATGGGTGTATCAGTCCTAACTTTTAAATTAAATTAAAAAAAGTTACTTATCTCTAAAGTACTACCTAAGTCTGGGAGAAGTACAAAGTAGTTGAGAGGAGTATAAGGCCAAATCACAAAGAATTGTCATTAATATTAGCTTATAATTTGGTGATCTAATCAAAAGATATGATGAAAAGCTCAGTGTAAGATGAGCTGTCACATTAGGCCATTAAAAATAAGTTTCCTATTAAACTTTTTCAATAACATTAGCTGCTAAGTTTGGAAACCAACAATTTATTGTCAAGAGAAAATGAAAAAGAAAATAAAAAGTTCTCAGTAAGTTGCATTAGGCATTACATAACCACCATACCACTCACATCTGCACACCTCTCTCAGTTAAGAAAGGACAACTTTTTATATAGTCTCTGTCTCTACTGAACAATTAGCATGGGAAGAACCAAACTTCATTCAGGGGATCTAAGTCTCATTTGAAATGATTAGTTGACAAATCGTTAATTTTATCAGTAAACATTTACAGTACTACCAAGATGTAAATCGTAATTTTCTAAAACAACTGTATAATTGCTCTAAATCAGACAAATACTTATTAACACAGTATATTAAACTTAAGACCACCCCCAAAGTCATGGTATAGCCCACGACATCATTGATGACATCAGGAAGAGCATAAATAAGGTAAGTGTTTGGCTGCCACTCCCTTTACTTTCAACTCCTGGAGTCCATGGTGAGTATGGATCAAGATGTTCAGATTAAACTAATGTAGTAGAACTGTAACCATTTAACCAAAGAATAGTGATGGTAACAGTAACAAAACACAATACTAACCACAAACAAACCTGTCATACTAAGAGATTCCAGTGCTAAAGATTAAGTGCTCAACAAAGCATGAGAATTTTTTTCTCACAGTTGTTGTATACACACACACACACACACACACACACACACACACACACACACACACACACACACACACACAGAGCAAAAAGAGAGAGCGAGAGATGTAAATGTAAGTGTAAGTGACATCAGTTGCTAACTTCTGGACATTGCAATTACAAAGATAGCTTCAGCTCCTCCTGACCTCTGATTATTACAAGGGTAGCTTTAAGCTACTAACTCTTGTTTCAAAGGAGTGTCAACATCAGCTGCT